AACCTTATGATATCTGACTATAAAATCGAGATGTTAGTTCAAGGTTGTCACCGCTTTAATTATGCAAATAAGGCAATCGGAATATAAAATCGATATGTTTATGTTAGTTCAAGGTTGTTACCGCTTTTGCATACATTGAGTGCCGACTCATAGATAGGCAATTACTTATACATAATAGAAGTCGGGTAAGTGTTTGGAAGAAGTCCGGAGAGGTCAGGAAAGGGCTGGATAAGGTCGGGAGAAATCTAGACAAGTCTGGATAAAGTCTGGATAAGGCTGGAAAAAGTTTAGCTAAGTCTGGAAAAGTTTGGATAAGTTTGGATAAAGTCTGGAAAAGCCAGAAAATTTCTGGAAACGTCTGGAAAAGGCTCTATTAGGTCTGGAGAAATCTAGACAAGTCTGGATAAAGTCTGGAAAAATCTACCCAAGTCTGGATAAAGTCTGGAAAAGCCTGGAAATTTCTGGAAACGTCGGAAAAAGGCTGGATAAGGTCTGGAGAAATTCAGACAAGTCTGGATAAGTTCTGGAAAAGTGTATTTGAAGTCGGGAAAGTGTTTGGGAGAAGTCCGGAGAGGTCAAAGGGCTGGATAAGGTCTGGAGAAATCTAGATAAGTCTGGATAAAGTCTGGATAAAGTCTTGCTAAGTCTGGAAAAGTCTGGATAAGTTTGGATAAAGTCTGGGAAAGAGCCAGAAAATTTCTAGAAACGTCTGGAAAAGGCTCTATTAGGTCTGAAGAAATCTAGACAAGTCTGGATAAAGTCTGGAAAAATCTAGCTAAGCCTAGAAAAATCTGGATACAGTCTGGAAAAGCCTGGAAATTTCTGGAAACGTCTGGAAAAGGCTTAATAAGGTCTAGAGACATTCAGACAAGTTTGGATAAAGTCTGGAAAAGAGCCAGAAAATTTCTGGAAACGTCTGGAAAAGGCTCTATTAGGTCTGGAGAAATCTAGACAAGTCTGGATAAAGTCTGGAAAAATCTAGCCAAGTCTAGAAAAGTCTGGATAAAGTCTGGAAAAGCCTGAAAATTTCTGGTATCGTCTGGAAAAGGCTTGATAAGGTCTGGAGAAATTCAGACAAGTCTGGATAAAGTCTGGAAAAGTGTATTTGAAGTCGGGAAAGTGTTTGGGAGAAGTCCGGAGAGGTCAGAAAAGGGCTGGATAAGGTCTGGAGAAATCTAGACAAGTCTGGATAAAGTCTAGCTAAATCTGGAAAAGTCTGGATAAGTTTGGATACAGTCTGGAAAAGCCAGAAAATTTCTGGAAACGTCTGGAAAAGGCTCTATTAGGTCTGGAGAAATCTAGACAAGTCTGGATAAAGTCTGGAAAAATCCAGCCAAGTCTAGAAAAGTCTGGATAAAGTCTGGGAAAGTCTGGAAATGTCTGGAAACCTCTGGAAAAGGCTTGATAAGGTCTGGAGAAATTTTGACAAGTCTGCATAAAGTCTAGCTAAGTCTGGAAAAATCTGGATAAAGTCTGGAAATTTCTGGAAACGTCTGGAAAACGCATGGAAATTTCTGGATTGGGTCGGAAAAATTCTGGAAAATCTGGAAAGGGTTGAATTTTAGCGGATCTCAAAGCTCACAATAATCACAAGCATTAGCGTTGAAGTTTGCTTCGGCATTTTCAATGTTCTCCTCGGTTGCATCTTTGTGAAGGACTGTGAATTTGTTACTTATGTGACAATTCTCTGACAATATGCCTATTAGCTGTGCTATTAGATATTGCTCTGTAGATGGTTGTTTTTCAAAGCAAGGAAGTGGTTTAATATTTTTTCTAGGTCCAATAGAAGAATCTAGGTATGTATAGGGTTTTCCAATAGTAACGCTCGATGTTTGACAATAGCCCATGAAAAACTCGATAGTCACACAGGTGCTATCTTTGGCAGCCGTATTCAATTAGTCTCTGCATTTTATTATGGAGCGCTACACGATTGAGCAACGCGTCGGAATTGTTAAAAATTATTATCATTATCAAAACCAATGTTCTATTCGGAAAACGTTTCGTGCACTCCGTGCAATTTATGATGTCAACGATCGTCCTTCAGAATCCACAATTGGCCGACCTAACGTCACTGGATTTTTTTCTCTGGGCATTCTAAAATCCAAAGTCTATGTTGACAAATCTCGAACGGTTGCCGCCTTAAAGGCCAATATTAAGCACTTATTGCTGAAATTGAGCCATTTTTATGCGATAACGAACACTAAATGATTCTAACGACAATCTAAAATTGTCGGAGAAATGTATTGATAATTCGGATATTGTTGAAAACATCTATGAGAAGTAAAGTCCGTCGATTTTAATCTAATACTCGAAAGGAATGTGAGCTGGTGGCACCCTACATTTGAACGCCAATGGTCACCTAAGGTCACCCCTGGTTTTCGCTTCACCCCCTCGCTCCTCATACGAAAAGTCGACGAACAATACTAAAAGAAGGAAGATTCAGGGACTTGACCAAATCTGCAATACTTTCTGCAAGAAATGTTGATGTCGAAGAAATAAACGAATAAGTTGTCGAACTGTTGGACGTCAAGACCGAAAAACTCTACACCAGTATAGATAGTGTCAAGAACTGTGATAATAGTGATCTAAATGATGCTATTCTTCCAAAATATTTAAATTCGCTTAATCCGCCGAATTCCCGCTCCATGATTTACGATTGAAAACGAATTCTATTGTATGCTTATTAGAAATCTAAGCATCAGTGCAGGCCTTTGCAATGGTACAAGGCCTTTAGTTCTGGAACTTGGGGATAATCTGTTACGCTGTGAGATATTGACTGTAGATAAACAGGGAGAAATAGTGTTCATAAATCGAATAACACTCTACTGCGAAAACGTCTACCCCTTTACGTTCAAACAAAGACAATTTTAAAATAAAATTAGCCTTTGCAATGAGTTACGATTAACAAATCTCAAGGACAAACATTTGATAGGATAGTAATTGATCTCCAGAAAGGATGTATTAGTCACGGACAACTTTATGTGGCGCTTTTCAGAGTTCGTTCGTGGGACTCATTCAAACTTTATTCAGGGAAACAAAGAGGCAATAGTGTTGTCAAAAACCATGTTTTTAAAGAATTGTTTTTTTGATAATTTAATTTTGAAATTTCACAGTCATAGGTGATTTCAGAAGATCTTTACAACTTATTTACAAGATATTTGAAGATCACAAGACAAAAACCTGAACACGATAAACATAAATGATTGAAAATAACGAAGAACGACATGAAGACTTAGCACTCTTTAAACTTTGGATTCTTACGAGTTCCATAAAATAGAATAAGTTGCACTGGACATATGCACACCGTATATTCAAAAAATAAGATCGATTTAAAGTCATTACGATGTACCGCAAAAGTAATAATTCACCAACTACTTTGATCACATTTAAAATTTATGTCTACCACGTAGGTACAAACAAAACAAAAAATGTAAGTTGAATAATTGAGCAATTGAATTTAAAATCTTTTAAAAAAATTTTTTTTTCGATTGTTTGCAGTAAAATGTTGATCGAGTAGACTTCAATAACTGGCCTAATAAAAAAAAAGGAACTTCATGAAAATGTAAAAAAAAAATTAAGACTCGATATCTCGTATTATACCACAGCACATAAATAGTTACTAACTCGGTTTATAATAACACCTTGATTATGGTTATGATTATTCTGTTTTAAATAAACCACTTCGAATAATGTATACCTACACCTACGAGTTCCATAAAACAGAATGAGATAAGTAGACATACGCACACCGTACATTCAAGAAATGTGATCGATTTAAAATCATTATGATATACCATACAAAAATAATTAGTCACCAACTCCATCCATCGCATTTGAAATTTCTTCACTAGAATAACATCTATACAACTTATCTCACTGTTACATTTAATGTATAATGTACATTTAAATCAAAAATTATGCTGTTTTTTGTACAACACCTAATAAATATTTTCCATTTTATAATTATTTTGATGGACTTGATTTAAAAAAAAAGCGCGCGAAGCGCGCTCATGACCTAGTTATTTAAAATTTCAGGTTGGTTCAGTGCATTTGTAACCTCATTCAAAGCTCGACTGGTTGAAGCCTGACTAATCCCCACAAAACTGTTAGAACCAGTTATTTCCTGGTAATTGCCTGAAGCATAAAATCGCAGGGCAGCAAGAACCTGCAAGTCATTGTAAATTAAGTTTCTAAAAACGTAATTAGTAGCAACTCACATATAAGCATTCTTCTACAAGCTTCAATTTTTTTACTTACCTTGGTTTGTATAGATAAGGCCGAGGTTCTTGTAGGTTGGGCTACAAAAGGGGTGACCATGTCAATTATCTCACGACAGAGGTCCTTATTTACCCTGAATAGCTGTACAAATTTTCTTTCCGATAATTGGAAAGCATTTGCTTTAGGCAAAATATCCCTCCCAATAGCCAATTTTGCCACTGCTTCCTCAACATCCTCGTTGATAATATCATTCCACAGCATTAAATTAAAATCGTCCATGTCCATTTTATAATAATTTAAATTAAATAACTTCAATTTCAAAAAAAATATCAACAACAAACTCATCAAACAAAAACGAGATCCCACAAAAACAACATAATCTAAGGTTAGGTTTGCTTTTCCCTCAGTCTCTAGAGAGAGAACTTCAAGTTCTCTTGGGAGACGCTCCCTCCCGTATAATTTTTTCAAGAATAAGGTATTTATATTTTTGAGAGAACCACGCCCACTTCCCTCAAAAGTTCTACTCCCTGAAATTCAAGAATTGGGGGCCTGCTGCTGGCGGATACTATAATGTACCTATAAACACCTCAGGGCATTATAAGCGGGCGTTATATTATAGTAAGTTTTTAATAATTAAATGAGGGGATATTATTAGTGAGCGTTATGATCTATAACGCCCGCTTATAATGCCCTGGGGTTGTTATAGGTATATTTTCGTTTTCTAGGTATTATGGATTTATAATTTGAATGAAGCTGAAATACTAAATTAGGAGAAAAACATAAAAATAGAAGAACTATAGACTGTCCAGCCAGAAGACTGGGTAATAGGTACTGCCTATTTTTCTATTTACTACCAAAATATTACATAAAAGTTAACTATACCTATATGAATAATGGACAATGAATTATATATACAAAAACAGAATGAAAAATATGACTAAACATTGATAATAGTGAATAAAAATTAAGCTATAGTCGGCAATCCTTCCTCCTTGATAAATCCATAAGTTAGTCCCTGAAAACCAGGTATTAAATGATGTTGGGTTGCATATTATGATCCCCTGGCAAGCCAGAAATTCCTGGATTACTGTTCAGATTATTATTGACAGGCGGAATAGCAAAAATAATGGACCGAATTAGACCATCTCGCACAGAATCACCAGTTTGACCTTGTGAGAAATTAAACGTAACGCCGTTGCATTGTGAATGGCTGGGATAAGTTCCAATAGGATAACAGCCAATTTTATTCAGGACCACGCCAACTTTGTAAACCTAAAAAGAAAAATTGATTTAGATTTCTTTGAACTATTCTAGCAGGTTTAAAATAAATATATTTGGGGTCGGTTTATTAACCTTCTGATCAGAGCTGGGAGTAACGACAAAAAATAGTTACTTTACTTCAATGAATTACTGAAAGTTACGCGTTACTTGGTAACTTCGTTACTTTTCAGATTGATTGATAAGTAACTGTAACGACGTTACTTTCCTGAAGTAACTGCAGATCGTTATTTTGGTAAAGTAACGAGTTACTATGAAAGTAGCGCGTTACTATTAAAATAACGCGTTTATATGGAAGTAACGCGTTATTAGTTACTATGAAACTAAATTTGTTTATCTTCTTTACAAATAATTGACGATTGAGGAAAAGGAAAATAAGTAATCCAAAAACTTTGTATGTCAAATAAAATCCGGGTAGTACTGAAAAATTGTTTTGAAAGCTCAAAATAATCGTTTTTGGGCGTGGCACGCGCCGCCTCTGCTCTAAAGACACTATATGCAGACACTGGGACGCTTCAAAAAGCAGGTTTGTCCGAAACCAAGTTCTCTATTTAGTCGCTTAATCCTTAATCCGTTTGGATTTTGCAACAAAACTCTACCACATAGTCGGACTCACAAACTAAAAACATATTGGCATTTCGTATAGGTCTTATTTGATTGTTTAGACTGCTGTGTTGGTGAATCAAATTAGGGAATAACACAATTTTCGAAGTAAATAATTATTATTGAAGTAACGGGTTACTTTAAAAGTAACGCTTCATTTAAAAGTAGCGCTTTATTTCAAACTAATGCGTTGAGGTAACGGGTTACTTTCAAATAACGAGTAACTTTTAAGTAACGAACTACTCCTAAGGTAAAGAAGTTACTTTCAAAGTAAAGAAGTTACAGTAACGCGTTACTTTCCAATAAGTAACGAAAATAAAGTTATCATTATTCGAAAGTAACTGTAAATTTTAAGTAAAGAGTTATTTTTAAACAAAAGTAACTGTAAAGTAACGATCCCAGCTCTGCTTCTGATAAACTGTCATGTATGCAATCTGACAAATAAAAACGCAATCTGTAATCCAATTAGTCGACCAGTTATCCACCGACCAATAGAATTAGAGAACGGTAAATTTATCTTGCAGATAGTTATTAGTAAGTTTATCTGAGATGAATGAACCGGGCCTTAGTTATATAAAAATAATAAGTAAATGGTCCACAAAGGCTGAAGGACTTCAGGAGTCCAAAAAATTGATCTTTGTTAGTTTGATGTTTTTTTTTTTTTCAATGCTCTTCCAAGAGCTCCAAGTAGTAACACATTAATCAATTTAGAAATTAATAATTCGATTTAGCCATATGCAGTCTATACAAGCTGTCCAAGGTGAAAAAAATAAAATAAAAGATTGCTCCTTTCAAGTAAGATCTAAATAATATTATGTATGTTACAGTGTGTGATATTGTCAACTTGCTACTTGGAAAAGGAGGGCCCGATATTCAACCTTATTAATTTAATTACCGACTCGGTCGGATATTCATTGCAATTCAGCAATAAATTCATATAAATAGCGGACTGAGACAACTAACAGACTTGAATAAGTTTGAGTACCGCCACCCTGGGAACGCCTCTCTGGAATCAAGTCTCCCCAGTGCTTGTATCGCCAGCCTAAGAAAGCCCCTCTGTATTGTCATCTAGTGCGAAGTACGGCCACTCTGGGAAAGTTCTTCTAGATGAGGATCAGTTAAACAACTATTAGAAATCAATGTAACATTGATAAACCGACATTACTAAGTAGCGTCCGACTCCCGAAGGAAGAGGGATGCATCCTGGAGGGAGGATTCATGTAAGAAAAAAAAATACCATGAAATTGAGATTACTGAAAACCAAATTCGTAGTTTTACCAAGTTTTGATGCACGGAATAAAATTATAGCATCAGACAATTTATTCACATAGATCTTGGAAAAAAGGAGCTAATAATTAACCAGCCAAAAATTTCTGATTATTTGAACACATTTTGTATTGTTGAGAAGTAATACAATGGGTAAGTTACGTCCATGTTCAACTGAATAGATAATATCATAGGTTCCAGATATGAGAGATTGGAATGGCTTTTTGTTGAAGATCTGCAAAGTGTCATACTTCCTTTGAGAATCAGTAGTTCTCATCACTCAAATATCGAGCTATGAAAAGAGTGACGTTATAGGGATCTTCTTTTACAAACATAGTCTTACCCTATGTTAAATTTACCATAACAATAGTAGATTAGGCCATGGAAAGAAAGGGTAAAGTACCAAATGACTTGAAAGTTCTACATAGTTATGAATGCTGTGTTATGACACCATATGATATGATCCGAAAACAATTTCACTCTGTCCAACGAACCTACGGAGTATGACATAGTCAGATTGGCGGCCAGGTTTACACTGAACACTGATTTATTGTCCGTCGATTTTAATCTGAAACTTGGACGGAATGTGAGCTGGTGGCTCCCTACATGGTTACCTGACGTCACACCTGTTTTTGCTATATGAAACACGCCCTCGCTCCTCATACGGAACGGAAAGTGTCAGTTAAAAATCTACAAACAATATGCCATTTATTTATTTCAAAATCTTACAAACGTCACTCTACAGTGTACAGCGGGCTGATAAATGACCAATAGCAACAAACCTTCCTGAAGGTTTTGTTGTTTGTCGCTCCATAGGTTGGTTGGACAGATTAAGTCACTAGAACGACTGGTACTTCCATATAGGTTAAAAATACTATTGTCCGTTGTTTTTAATCTGACACTTTCTGTATGAGGAACGAGGGTGTGGAATATATGGCAAAAACAGGTGTGACGTCAGATGACCATTGGCGTACTAATGCAGGGTGCCACCAGGCTCACATTTCTTCGGAGTATCAGATTAAAATCGACGAATTTTATTTACATGTGCAAAGTCGTACAGTTGTGGCCGTTGGAATTAGGCACTAGCTGACGTCACACACATAACCTCTCAATGACGTTTTTGTCCCTCTATCGAAAGTGACGTTGAAATAGACTTTTAAACGCTTTGTTAGTCCCCCCATCGAAAGTCAAATGTGAGGTTGTGTGTGAAGTCAGCTAGTGCCTAATTAGGCAATCCCATGACCTGTCAAACGAAATTCAATATGGAAGTTCAGGTCAGACACCCTGTTGTTTACAGTTAGGTACCGATAAAAATCAATGAAAAATTATTTATTTTGTCACATTCTGGACGTTTGACATTGGCATTGTCATGTTCGGCATATACAACAATGAGGGCCAGAACACAAATGCTATTTTTATGAACGTCACCACAATTGACATTTTTACCTTGGCTGTGCGCGCAACTCGTGGGTCGCAGGTGAGCGTCCAATGAGACGCGAATTTGTTACGGGCTTTCGTCATATTCGTATTCAGGGGCGAGTTCAGAATTAATCGTTTCTTCTTTTTTTGTAACCAAGGTTGGCAGGATATATATCAGCGATAAATATTCTGATATATATCATGATATTTATGCTATAAATATCCTGATATGTATATATCAATAATATTTGTATGGCCTTTTTTTTCTTATTTTTATAGTTTTATTATTTTATTTATTTTTATTATTGTGAAAAAAAAAGTTTAAACAAAAGTTACATGGTATCATGGGGCAAACAAAATGGCGGTACTGATTTTTGACATTGACAACGTTTTCAAGGTTATTTTAAGGTCAACTTTTTTTTTCCTATGGAAACATATTTTTTTTATTACAGAATCTCATTCTACGGAAAAAACAAGTAATTTTTACTCATTTTTCGATCCGATCTCAGTTTAAGAGGATAAAAAAGAACGAATCATTAGGGACATAAAGCTACTTGAAATAATTCGCCGGTATCGGTATCGGTATCCGTAACGCAACTAGATACGTTGACAAGCGAAAAGGTTGTCAAAGCGCTCCCTGTTCCGGTAAACGTAAACGCATCTCATAACTTAGTAATTTTCGTGTCAAAACTCGGGCGTTTTTATATAAAATTGTTATTTTTTTTGCGATAGAGAAGCACTAAACACACAAGAAACTCAAGAAAGTATAAACTAAATAAATTAAATCAACCCGGAAGAAAAGTGAGGTTATATTCATTTAAAATTTGACACATGCGTCAGGAATGTCAAGATACGTTACCGATACGGATACCGCGAGAGGGCCGTAACGTTACGTTGTACGTACGGTATCTCGGCGTCCGTATCGCTTCTGCACATGCGCAGTACGATACCGATACAGGTACCGAGCAAAAAATACGGAAGCTTTATGTCCCTATTGATTTTTTTTTCCTCCTCACAAAATCGAAAAGTAGAGAAAGGTTACCATGTTAAAAAAATATCTCAAAAACTATAACAATTGTTTAAAATAATGACCGCCAGCTTCAACACACTTGTCAATTCACTTTAAAAATCAAACAGTTTATCAAGAGGTTCCCACAACACCGGTAATATGATGGAATGCATAAGAAATGCTTAGAGCTGTCAGTAAAGAAACTCTAATTTGGTGCCATGAAAGCTTTTTACAGCGAATTGACAAGTGTGTTGAAGTTGGCGGACATCGCTTTGAACAATTGTTATTGTATTTGAGGTAGTTTTTTACTATGGTACCCTTGCTTTACTTTTAGATTTTGTGAGGGGGAAAATAAAATTCGTTCTTTTTTATCAGGTTAAATTGAAACCGAATCGAAAGATGCTTCAAGTAAAAGTTACTTGTTTTTTTCCGTAGAATAAGATTCTGTAATAAAAAAAATACATTTCCATTGGAAAAAAGAGTTGACCTTGAAATAACCTTGAATACGTTGTCAATTTCATCAGTGCCGCCATTTTGTTTCCCCCATGATACCATATAACTTTTGTTGAAACTTTTTTTTTCAAAAACGCACCGTTTTCGAGATATTAGACTGTCTCAAGTTAAATGTATATCCGATATATGGCGATATACAGTGCGCACGTAAAGGTTGGAATAAAACCTATAAAATATACAGGGT